GTTGACGAGGAAGAGGAGGAAGAGGAGGAAGAGGAGGAGGAAGAAGAGAGATCCGGAGGAGGAAGCGGGGGTGGAAGAGGACAGATGAGGACGAGGATGAGGAGGGGGAGGAGGTAGGGAAGGGGGGAGGATTGGGACGCGGAGGCGAAGGAGGATACGATACGATACGGATGACATTGGGCCAATGAGACCGAAGTAGAAGGGTTAGGGGAGGAGGTGGAGAAGGAGGAGGAGGAGGAAGAGGAAGAGGACGATATAGGGGAAACTTTGATGGGGGTTGGGAGGCCCAACCATACCTTCGCCTAAGGCGAAGGCTATGTCCAACGTTGTTGTAACGTGGTGGCGATAGTCCCAGAAGTAGCATATCTTCGCGGGAGTGACGGGCCATGTCAAGCGATTATGTTTTCCGTCTCAATGGCACGTAGTGTGCCTCGCGACGAGGCGCACTCATATCTTGGCGGCCAGCCGCTTGAGCCAAACGGTTTCGGACAAACGTTCGCTATCTCTCGCCTTTTCCCCCAACATCCTGTAGGGTCGGGGGGGAGGAGACGAAGCGTGAGCCCGCCGCCCGCTGTACAGCAAAACGCTATATTACACAAGGTGGGCAGCAGCAGGCGGACTCAACAAGGCAGGTGGACCCGCGCGCAAGTTTCTTTGCAAGCATGTTGCCTCGCAGGCAAGTTTCCTTGCGGATGGCTGCTCCTCAGGCGGTTCAGACGAGTTTGTCTGGCCAACCCTGTACGGAATGTGTCGTTTGAAATCATGTTTGAAAGATTGCGTCCCCCCCCATGAGTTGTAAAAGCCTCTCTATCGATGATCCCTTTGGTGTCGCGAGTGTCACACCACTGTACACAATGCACAATACATCGCTTCATCATCTGCCGTATCCAACTGGTGTGTACCGGAAGTGTGCACTCAGTCGGCTTTCTCCGGTCTTTGTTTGACAAGGACTTGAAGACAGATTCTGCATCGATGGCCAAGGCGACCTTGATGTTCAGGCCATCCATTTCAAGTACGTTTTTCAACTGAGTGGGTGCAAGCGGCCCTGCGTGGAGTTCGTTACGAGTAACGATCGTGGGATAGCAGTCCTCCAAGTGATGGGTTGCTGCAAGTGTTCCCGCTGAATAGCTTTGATCAGACCTGCAAGCGATGGGACTTGCAGTGCGAGTCGACAAGATGGACGACGGGCTTACCAGCATGCGTGCCCACGCCGAAGCAGGTTTGCCCCGCGAATACCATTGCCTCCGATTTCGTCATCGGCATCTCCGCTCAGACGTCGGCAACCGCATTCGCTGTGCAGGTCGACCCCGCCCGCCGGAGATATCGCTTGATAGATGATCTGCTCAGGGCAGGCCTGCAATTTCCTGGTGATCGCGCTCGCTCGTCGCACTTGCATATTGGTCGGTTCTTGGGCACGCAGTAGAAATGCAACATATACCAGTAACCACGCTTGCACGATTGAGGCGCATGCCGAAGCGCCTCTGTGGCCGACGAACATGTCCGCGACTATCTTCGATGCCTTGGCATCTGCGTCTGCGCCCGCGAGGTGGCGATGATGGATGGAGCGGAGCTGGATATGTGTGTATATATATATATATATATGTGTGTATTCGCCCTGACCAAAGGTAACATTACCGTCGCCGTCCTTCGCGCGCCTCACAGCACAGCTCGTTTATGCGTGCTTGATGAATTTACACTTGCTAACAGTATCCTCGACACACATGACGCACCTGTCGATAGCGCCCTCAGCGCCGGCCATATTTACGTCATCAACGTGCTTACCCGTAAGAAAGGTTCGAGTTTGACTCGAACTCCTCGCTGTAGGACGCGGGTTTGAGACCGAGCCCCCCGTGGTCTTTCTGAGCCTCAGTGAGAAGGCTCTCGGTGCATCCTTGGCGCAAGCACCTGGCTTGAGACAGCGCAGGCAGTGCTTCGACTCATCGCAGTGCTCGAATCCTGGGAGGGATCCGAGCACAGATGCCGGCCCAGGCGGCAATATAAAGCACGCCACGCGCCCCTTTTCACCGGTTGCTTCAGCATGTCCCTGATAGTTGAATCCTTTCAGGAAAGCAATGGTGATGTCAAGGGTGGCAATGATCCACTGCTCCTTGCACGCTGTCGCTCTGGCGAGCAGTCGCTGACTCGACCGCCGCGCCGTTCCTGAGAACGTCTCCACATCGAAGGCTTCGAGGCCCATGGAACCCCGAAGTACATTGCGTAGTCTGATGGTACCTTCCATCTCGCCCTTCTCGTTCTTGACGATTTTCCATTATATGCGCGTCTCGAAGTCATGATGTTCGACGCATTAGATGTCTCGTAGTTTGAAACACATATTGTCAGACCATGTCACGAGTTCAGTGTAAAGGGCCTTCGATACCTTGACTGGCTTCGCCTGGGTATCAGCCATCGCGAGGAAGTCGTCCTCCTTGACGACTACAGCGCATTTAGCTGCAGCGGTGCCTAGACTATTCTCGCCTGGTGGTCACACGGTCGAACTACAGCATTATACGCTGTTGTTCGGATAGGGCTACCCTTGACATGTCTGCAGCGAAGCACAGCACTGCATATTGCCCGTGCCCGTTTAAGTCCAATCCATAACTGTCGCCTTCGTCCGTGGAGCACAGCGGAACATGATATGTTTCCGTCGTGTCTATGTCCTGTGTGTCGCCCCACGTAGGCAGGTGCCCCCGCGTTCTTCAGCGTCTGTAACCAGCGCACTGTTGTCGGTGATCATCTGTGGGTACAGTGCAGAGGTCGTCTATTAGAGTTGCCTCCCGTACTTCTCTTTCGTCTTGCAGTTCTGTGCACCACACTTCCATAATGCGTGCCGCGAAGTCCGCCTCTGATTCCTCAAAGATGGTGGGGAACCGTCCGTCTCCCTGTGGTGATTCGACTTCCGGCCTGTATTGGTACGCCAGCCAGTTCTTCGAACTTCGCCACGTCTTGGTCAAAGCCCGCTTGAGGTTGAGTGGACTTCAGGCACTGGATGATCCTAGAATGTGCTGACCGAGTTATATCATACGTTTGGGGCAGTGGTTTCGGTTTCGTAGTAATGGTCGCCTGGGTTCAAGTCATTGTCATATTGCACCAATGTACAAGTGTCAGCATATGTCACCGGAGGTATCTTGTGAAGACTCTTATCCAACCTGGCAGAGACTACGTTTTCGATAAGAACCAAGTTCTGATGAGGTACTCAAGAGCTTAGTGCGATGTAGGAGATAGCCGGCTTGCACTCGTCATCTGGAGCACCCCGTTTTGGGTCGGGAGGTAACCATATGTCATGGCAGGTCGCCCCAAAGGTGGAGTGGCCGCGAATGCCAGCGCAGTCCGCACAGCTGCGCTGCCCGAGCCAATCTCTCGAGCGATCAAAGCTTCAATGTATGGTGAATGTCGTGCATCGCCGCACTGGACTTGTACATCGCGATTTCCCACTCCCATGATGACTTGACCCCTGTCGGGATCAATTCGCACGGCCGGGAAAGGTCCATTCCAGCAAGCCCAGTCGTCCTTTGTGGTAGTAGGGCGATGATAGTCAACCAGATCCCCTTCGTCATAGCAATGCTGACCAGGGATAGCAGTCTTAGCCCACAGTGCACGGCTCGTTTCTGCCACTGCAGTGGCTTGAATAATTGCCCTAATGCTTACCCGGCATGGTTTGTTCTCGAAAGCGGTCGGATGTGTCTGTCTGCTGTTCGTGGTCCACGAACGGGCAAGTCGGGTGGCATCGACAGTTGCCGACCGAACAGTGCGCTGCATGGATATGCCTCATTGCGAAAGGTAAACGCGGTGGCGGCAAACGAGGCTTCGTGCAGTAGACTTGTAAACACAAGAGGTATGTCTAACCTGTGGAGCTCAGCCTCCACGACATGAAGTAGGCGTCGTGGCAAGGCATTTCTTGCTTCCATGGCAGTGCAGCGCGCAGTCCACGCGCACGCATCCTCAGCTCAATGCATTTTGCCTTCAGGACTGCCTGCGCGGTGTCGTTGTTGAGCGCACCTCCTCCGTCGGAGTAAGGTCTTTGGCGGGTCCGAAAGGCATCCAGCATTGATTATACGCGTATGAGATACTCGCAAGGGTTTTGTCTGGCATCCCTATTCCATCGCCATATCGAATGTAGCAATCGATTAT